TGAGATAATGTTGATGAATTATGGATATTGGCGTTAACTTTAAGTGAAGCAATTTGTTTGACAATTGAATAGTTAGGTCAATGTGAGAAACTTATTTATGCATAATCTTTTTTCTTCAACTACTAGGAGTGTTTAAAAATGTAGAAAGTTCGTAATGCACATAATCCTCATAGTTTCTAGTAAAAATTGAATACAATGATAACCTTAAATCAGCCGATCAGTTTCAAGGGAGTAAATTTTAAAATTAGACAAGAATTACCGAACGTATTTGAGGATAACCTGCTACATGAAACCATAGTTTTAAATAAATTTCGTATTTTGGTTGATTTTGATCAGGAAATAGCAGTAAAGCATTAACAGAATATTGTATTGTTGAGGAATTACACATTACGTGACTGTGAGCTGCAAACTGCTTATAGAGGAGGTTCGAAAGATCGAGAAAGAAGTACTAGATACATTTTGCTAAACTGAATCTCACACTAGAACATATCATTGTATTGATAATCAAATAGGAAGCAGGAATGATAATAACCACTGATACAGCAGTAGCAGTCGCAAGTAAAATTTTAACAGTATAAAGGTATGTATATTGCTAAGGAATGTGTCCCATAATGGTAACAAATGTGGTAAAGTAGGAAGAATTGTGAAGATCGACGAAACAATTATTGCGAAAAAAGTGAAACCCAAGGGGGGATTGGGTGAACAGTATTCTTTCAGTTTAATTAACAGGTATTCGACATAAAGGATGCAGCAGTACACAGAGACTATTTCTAATAGATTCTAAGCAATACGACATCAACTCTCCCATTTACAATAAAACAGTATGTCCATTTTGGGATAACAACATCCATCGAATGGTCATTCAATAATGAAATTTTTTGAACCCTGGGACAGGTACACACAATAAAAGTATTGAAGCTACATGGTCATGATTTAAGGAACTAACGCCGACCATATCAAGGCTTCAGAGAAGGAATCGTTTAGATCATACTTGCCATGATTTTCATTCTGATGAACTCATTAATAATTTCAAGGAATTCATTGTTTATGTCAAAACTCCATATCCACTACAGTTTTCTTGTTTTTCGCGGTACATAAATTATTTGCATAATTTGTATTCTGATTGACTAATAACTGTTTTAAATTTCACAAGGCCACTCAACACCATCAGTATAGTTTAGTTCCATCTAGTTTCCTCTTACTTGTAACGTATTATCACAAAAGTAATGAAGAATTATTGAAAATGTTTCTATTCAGAGTTATTATCACACTTTATCATCGTAGTATATTTCCAACTTTTATAGAATGATCATTTGGTAATGATATGATCGAGTAAGGTTTAATAAAATAAACAAGTGTTTCCCTTATGGGCTAGCAACTATCGCTTAATAATGGATTGTAACAAGAACTTGTAACATTCAAACAACACATAACACAAACGAGATTTCTATGCATACTCGCCATACTTTTTCTATTATATAGTCATACATGAACGCATTTAACCGGAAACAAGTGAGAAGAAAAGAGAATTATGTAAATTTATTTACTGTTGAAGAAAACAAAAACTTTGTCCAAAAATGCTAGTTTTTATTAATCTTATAAGTTCTAAATAATTAACACTCATCATTGATTGGTCAGCAACTTATTGCGTAGAACCAATGAATTAATTAAATAGTTGAGTTCATAAGTCAATCAAAGCTAGACCACCATGGAAAACCTGGAAGCCCTGGAAAGGCAGTTTTTTCCCAGTATGAGACTTGTCAGCAGTGCACATCCACGATGTTTTAAGTGTAGAATTGTTGAAAAATTATTATGACAGCAATAACTAATTAATTATGTGCTGGGTTCCATTTCGTCATTAACAACATCATATAGTCTGTTCATTGTTTTGGCTCTCATACTCGACATCAAAAATGAAAAGAATATATTTGATAATTTGATTGCAACTTTAGTTTAGGTATAGAAAATTAGGGTTTAATTTCTAGTTTATCAATGTTATTTAGTTTGCCAAATAAACAAGATAAGTTTTGAACAGACGATAATAAAGTATAATAGATGTATTTGTAAGCGGAAATCTTGACTTGTTATGAATATTGATAAGATTAAGCTTATTATAAAAATAGTCATCTACGCTTCTCATAGAAAGTCTTATTTTTGAGGACAATATTCAATACCTTATAGTGTTTCTCTTTCTATAATAAGCAATGAACAGTGAATAACAAGAGTAATCATGGACTGAATCTAATTTCCCTACAAAATTTAAAATTATATTGGTAGTGCAATGATAAAAAATATTTTGTAATTAATAATAATAATAATAATAATAATAAACTGAATTGAAATCAACCAATTATAATTGTTATCAGAAGATGGTGCTTGGGGGTAGTCAACAGGAAACCCTAGACCTAGGTTTCCTACTTCTTGGCACTTGTCAACAAGGTGTACTCAGTGATCAGTCAATTGTAAATACATTTCAGTCCTATATTAGGTCGATCACTGCTCGGGTAGCCCAGTGGTAACGTCTCTGAGTTTGAAACTGGGTGACATGGGATCGAATCAGTCGAGGAGCATCATTTCCCTCAAGATTACAGGTACACCTTGCTGATGAGTGTCAAGTAGCACCGAACCAAGGTCCAGGATTTCCTGTTGACTATCTCCAATCACCATCTTATCCGAAAATAGTGCATGCAATGTCGATTCACCTAAATTGGTGACCAACTTGCAACTTGATCGATGAGATTCGATCTGAACTAAGAAGGACCTGACATATGTGACATTGATCACCACCCAGTGATCGATCAATTGCAAAAGGTTGTTATCAATTATTATCATTCATTTTGAATAAATAGAAAGCATTCCAAGTATTCTATAAAAAGTCTGAATTTTATATTTAATTATTTTACAAAAGAATTATTACTTACAGAATGAGTAACGAAAAATGCATCCAAATATACAGAAATTTTATCGTTCAAGTATTTGGATGATTAGATGTAAATTAAGTGGTCTAACGGTAAAACATCCTCCAAGAAACCCAAGTTTCTGGTTTTTGCCATCCTTATGATTATGGTTGTACATTATAAATGAGTCTCATAGTAGGACAAAAGTGATATCTGGAACACTTTTCTTCAGGGGTACCCTAAATAGTCTCAATACATGAGAAATATCATTTATAGATTCAGGCTTTACTTTCTTCCGGTAAGTAAGTTAATCCTATCGATTAAATTAAGTAGTTGATCAAAATGTTCATAATATGTCTCATTGCTTTACTCTTGTTTCTCTCTCATTTTAGAGGTAATAATTAATTGACGAGAAGTGATTTATGGGTATTCAATACCAGGTAAGATCATAAAATAGATAGGCTAAACTAATTATTTTACTCATAAAAGCGTATTATTGAGTACTTAATATTAAATAAATTTCACACTATGATCTATGTATCACTTACCTTTCCTATACCTTATTACACTACTTTTAATCATTTGACTAATAGAGTTATGATCATTTTGTCAAGCTATCTATCTTTTCCACTCAATATTATACTTCTATCAGATTTTTGAATTTCAACTAAAATTATACACATACCAATCAGGGAAATATAAATTACTGAGTGAAAGTAACTGATAAGGGAATTTTCCACGAGTTAATATCAACCTAATGATCCTAGATTTCATTCTGTAAAAAAAACGACTGTAGGTGTCTTAGAATGGGATAAAATGCGATATTATGTTTGAATTTAGCATAATATTCGTCCACTAAAGCATCTAATTTAATGGGACTTCTTTTTAATGTAATTTTTTATTATCAATTGTATTCATTCTATGAAACATTCACTGTGTAGCACTTCTTTGCATGATCCCAATATAAAATCCAGTTATATTATCACTATCTTAGTTATGTATGATATTCTTTGGTAAAATATGAATGTAAATAATTGTGACTTTGTAAGTTATAAATATGTGGTTTAGAGACTGAATGGAATGTTCACTTGACATCAGTTTTGGTCTTCTTCATTATGTCATACAAAACACAGTTCCTCATATTTCAAACTCTAGGTTTTCATAGTTGCAATATCATGTTATTGAGAATTCTTAAACTAATTCTCCCTATTTCTCAATGAGTTCTTTCCCCTTCCCCCTTAATAATGGTCTCTAATGAAAAGAATATTTCCATTTTATGAAGAAAAACATGAAACATCTTCCCAAAAATAAACAACATTCTCCACTGAATAAAAGTTACGAACAAATCTAACAAATATCTATTGTTACATTATTCTATTCTACATTAAATTCATTTATATATAGGGGCATTTGTAACAGAACATGGATAAACTATTTTCGTACTTCTTCCATTTTTAGTTTTTTTAACTTTGTATTTTACTTATTCTCAACATTCATCTCCTGATTCTTACGTAACTACTATTCTAATGACCATTCATTATAATATTCTGTTCCCTCTATTTTTCATATATTATGCAACGTAGCAACTTCTTGATTTTTGAATAATTACTTTGATCATTATCAATCCTCTTTCTTTCAATTACTCAATGTTAATTTATTACGTAACGTATCCACTCGATGAGTATTATTTCATTATTGTAAATCATATATATACATATCAAAATGCTTAAATTCAAAATTCTACTGAACGAAACATCTTTTCTTTCTCTCTCGATTTTAGTTCAAAATGGTTCATATCTATTTTCTGTTTTTCTTTTCCTCTTCTGATCCCACATATTTTCTATTCGATTATGATTGATTTATAAATAAACAAAACAACATACAATGAGGAAAAAAATTGTATGATAAACATTTTCATACTTTTTATTCTTCTCTTTCATCTTTTAACTAGAAAAGAAAAACAAAGTTAAATATTTCACTAAATAATCTCAATTATATTAATACAAGTGATATATAAGTAGTATTACATTCATTTATGTAACTATTATTTTCATTACTGAATACTAATGTTATTTTTATTATTTTTATTAAAATAATAAAGACGGAAAGTACAACGAGCAAGAAAGAAATAAAAGAAATGTAATGATTGTTCAACCTCTTCTTTTTCTTTTCTTTTTATCTCTTGCCTATATTTTTGTTGTTTTCATGTAAGTTTAGTTTTTATTCCCTTTTATTGACCTTACTGGACACGTGCTATATATATATCTACTAACATGTTCTACTCATGTATAATTTTCATTACTTTTTTTTCTTGATTTAATAATATTTCCATTGATCTCATGAGTAAAATGTTAAATGTGTGTGTGTGAGTGAGTGAGCAAGTGAGTATGTGTATCAATGTTCATATGTGATGTGGTTAAAGCCAAACTTTTAGTGAAAAACTATGTATGAATGTGTACAACCATATGAAACTATGCATCTCATACTTAATAGAAAGAATATATCGATGTTATTGATGCACTTACAGAAAAAGTGAGTCCATTAAATTAAACTCCGGTTATTATTATCATTGCCGTCATCAGTATTATTATTATTATTACAATCCTTATGCGTATTTTTTTAAAAACTAAAGCAAAGAAACCCTGATTTATTAACATACGTTAATAACAAAATGGTGTATGCAGTTAAAACATTTCCACCTTCAGAATAATAAACTACATTCATAAACTGTAGGTAGGTATATCTGTATATGCACACAAATATGTACATTAATGTATACTTAATACTCAATAGAAGTTTTTAAATGAAATCAATGAAAAAAAAAAAAGAACCAATAAAACCAATGGAATAATCAGTAAATTAGAAATTAAACTTTAGTCCAGTTAATAAATTAAATTTATTATTATTATTACTATTACCATTACTATTATTATTATTATTACTATTATTATTATTATTACTATTATTATTATTATTATTATTATTATTATTATTATTATTAGGCATTATAATCATGTTTCTCTTTTTAAATGCTCGTATATATTTTAGATTTTTCTCTATCCAACTTTTATCCTTTGGAGCCATACTCAATGAAAATAAATTTATTTTGATAAGCAAAATATGTAATAGCATTTATACGTCATTCAACATACCCACACCCACACACACATATATATATATATATATATATATATAGATAGATAGATAGATAGATAGACATGCAGATAGACAGACAGACAGAAAAGTCACTGTAATTCAAAATGTTAATATTAATATTTAATTATAGGAATTTGATCATTCAATTTTTAATTAAATCTTATTTATTTCGATTAAAATCCTATAAATTAACATGAATATTGTATTAACGAATAATAAAATGTATATTTACTAGACGGAACCATTAAAATATTGTACAATTCCATCACCTAAAGAATAAATTAAGTTTGATCATATTTATATCATTATAAAATTCAGAAAGTCAATGGAAGACGTGAGAAACAGAAAGGAGATGAGCTGACAGATCATCACCGCGTTGTGGCCAAGATTAAACTGAAGTTAAAGAAACACTGGACAGCTGGGGAAACAGCAGTATAAAGGTTCAATACAGCCTCACTACGCGATACCAACAAACTCAACAAATCCAAGAAAGCTCTCAACAACAGGTTCCAAGTCTTATTGGATCTAATCGAAGAAGATGGAAATATTATGGAGGACAACTGGAAAGATATGAAAGAAGCACTAACTTCAACTTGTCAGGAGATGGTGCGGACGCGACAAGCATCATCATGAGGAGTGGATCTCTATGGAAATCCTGGACAAGATTCAAGAAAGGAAGAACAAGAAGATGGTAATTAACAACAGTGGGACAAGAGCAGATAAAGTCAAGACACAGGCTGAATACACAGAAGCAAACAAGCAAGCGGAGAGGAGCATTAGAGTCGACAAGCAGAAATATGTGGAAGACCTATCAACGACAGTAGAAAAGTTGCAACAGAAGGAAATATACGACAACTATATGACACAACGAAGAAACCGTTAGAGAAATATGGTAAACAAGAGAGACCAGTCAAGGACAAAGAAGGTAATTCAATCACCGAGATTCAAGAACAGAGCAACAGATGGGTAGAATATTCGAGTTCTTGAGTAGATCAGCTCCATTGAAACCGCCGGATATCGAAGCAGCACTTACAGATCTTCCTATAGATGTCACTCCATCAGCGATCAAAGAAATCATGGTGGTCATCAGAAAAATCATTACCGGGAAAACAGGAAGATCTGGAAATTTTCAATCTGAAGCACTAAAGTCAGATATAGAAATAATTGCAAGTATGCTTCACGTTCTATTCGGGAAGATTTGAAAAGAGGAACAAGTGTCAACAGGGTGGAAAGAAGGATGTCTCATCAAGAAACTAAAGCCAGGAGATCTGAACAAGGGTGGAAACTACACAGGTATCACACTACTATCAGTTCCAGGAAAGTTTTCAGCAGAGTGCTGTTGAACCATATGAAAGATTCAGTGGACGTCCAACTTCGAGATCAACAGGCTAGACCCCTAAGGATCGGTCGTGCACAGACCAAAAAGCCACACTACGGTAAATTGTCGAGGAATCATGAATGCATACTGCCGAGACACCACAAATTGAAATGTAACAGCTATTTAACGATCTTTATTTTTCACTAACATTGAACTAGGCATTAGTTTATGCTGACATTATTAAAATGTCAAGCAGTTGTCACTTGAACAGTTGTTTAACTATTCAGATTGAATCATATACATATTTAGCGTATACACATCTTACGAAATACATTGATATATTAAGTTTACTTGTTGTTACACTTTGTTGAATAAGAACTGTTAATTACAGTAGTGTGTAAAACATATGTTAAACTTTCACTCGATTACGACTGTTCGGTTTTAAACTTTATACTGTTTGAATGACCCGATAACTCGCTATGAAAATAAAAGATCATATGTGAAACAGATTGTACATATTCCACCTGATCATAATTAAAGCCTCCAGCTATTGATGTGTTATTGAGCCATGAAAACAAAACAATGGTAGTATATTAACATCTGAGTAAAAGATGTAATCAAAAAAGGGAAAAATCTATTTGGTTTTAGCTCATATTATACTAGAAAAGGGATTAAATAAAACCGTTGCATAACCGCTAGAAATTCTAAAGAGTTAAACATCAAAATTATTACAATCATGAAACTTATAAAATTAAGATAAACAACTTTTAATAATCAGTCTGTGCGTAGGGGAATTCGGTTATTTCGAAAAAGGGAAACATACACATGAAGAAATAGCTTGAACATTCATGAAATTGTAAATAAACATCGCAGTAAAAGTAAAACTAATCCATATACCCACTTGGTATTGTTTACTCGTATCTTCCCATTGATGTTAAGGACTGTAATTGATCAGTATCTTTTTGGTATATGTGCATACTATACGTATGGCCTTGATTCACAAGCATTATAAGCAAAGATTAAAAGTGGCTAGCAATGGAATCAAGGACGCACATTTCATCCTATTTCGGAGGTACATTCAGCTGACGTGTCCCAACTAGGACTAAATGCGCGTCCTGGATTCCACTGCTGGCCACTATCAATCTTTGCTTATAATTCATATATCTTTTTAAAATCACGTTTCAATAACATCACAGTCTAGTTAGTCTCAGTTTTTAATTGAAACGCAACACTTGAGAGAAATATGATTCATATATATATATATATATATATATATATATATATATACTTTCAAAATTAATAAAGTATTATTATAGCTGGTATCAAATATAAATAGATCATTGAAATCCTTAAGATAGTCGCACAACATTGTGGATTAGTTGAAATTAAACATCAACACCGTTGGATACCGGCTTGGTGGTCTAGTGGTTAAGTGCTCTCATGAGACCCGATGCCCTGAGTTTGATTCACATTTGCAAAACATTGGTCAGTTGTTCTGTGTTAACTCTTTCAGTAATCGAGCTTTTTGTTTGAAATATTCACCAAACAGAATGATTACATGGTGACAGAAAGCATAATTACAACCTGAGTTGATAGTTTAGAAGTTTTCTTTGGATAACCATGAGGATAATTAGCTTAAGGGGATGAGAAAAGTCATACATTCTTTTATTGAAACTATTAACTAAAATACTGATTACTTACAAATGCTCATCAGTTATCCTACAACACAACTAACTGATATTATATACAATCTTATTTGTGTTATATATCTCAGTATCTTGTAGTAACGTTATAGACAGTTAATAGATGATACAATCTACTGAGTGATAAAGACAAATATCAAAACAATATAAGATTTTGTTAAAACAAGTAGGACATTAAGATATGTCTTCGGTATGATGATGTTAGAAACAACTCACCTATATAATTGTTATTTTGATAAGTAAAACTGAATACAGAATAACAAATTACACAAAACAACACTATCATAATGTATATTTATCTTAATACTGCTAAAAAATTCAAGATAGTTTCAACCAACAAAATTGTCAAAAATGATTAACTCTTAACACATTCTTATGGATGAATTAGAAAAAGTAATTCAAAAAAGCTTTAAACTCAACTTACCATTTGATTTCTATTTAGATAAAGATTCTTTCAGATTGAAAGGGAATAAGAATAGTTTTGTTCTAATCTACTTTCAAAATCATTTATAAACTATTAATTGAATGAATAACAAATTATATTTTATAGACATTTAGTATGTTGAATTTTGATATGTAGAAACAAAAAAAAATAATGAATGGCAACACCACCATGGAAAACCTGGACGAAACGGTCGTTCAGTGCTTCCAGGTTTTTCATGGTGGTCTAGCTTCAACTGACTCATGATTTCAACCATTGAAATTACCATAATATCCAAAAAACCCCTTCTGATACTAATTCTAATATTATTAAATAATACGTACATAGTTCTGATAGATTGAATGTTACTAAATAATCATATCTAACTCATTCCTATGATAGTTTACCCCTAATATCTTTACTACTAACAAGTAACACATTGATTACTATCAAAATAATGTATAGTGTTGATTTCACTTGACATTATTTACTAAGGTTTAATTAGATTACGTAAGCAATGATGAATGAAGACTAAAATCACCTAAATAATGGTAATCAATACAGCTACCCCCTACATATATGTGTTTACAATTTACTAATAGGGTTGAAACTTTCCTTTGATGTGAATATAATTAAGTCAAGGATGAAAATTTGAACAAAATAAGTGAAAATCTCTTCTCAGAAGCTAAACAGTAAGCTACACAAAACTATGGTTTGTATTATTTTACTGAACAAATATTCGCAATTATCTTTTGAACAATTCATAGTAGGAATCTGTACAATACTCTATCATTGATAAATACTAATCAATGAATTCATCAAATATAATTTCTAAAAGCTGGATAGTGACTTATTTTTGCAATACTATACTTAATCAAACATACACGTCTAATTAATGTGTCTGAATGAGTTGTGTTTTTTCCTTCTTCTTCAATGATTAACAACAAAAAAAAATAAAATGTTAATTACTTTTTACATTTTATAAGATTAGTAATTTCGATACAAGTCGTGTGCATGGTAATAATTTATTTTCAATGGAATTTTGATTTATCTATCATAGTAAAGTGATTCAATAAGATCAATAAATATAATACTGAGTAGATTTGAGTAGCTTTAACAACAACAAAGGAGGAAAGGAAGAAAATAAATTACTGAAATGTAATTTAATATAGAATTTCCTATAGTAGATGTTCTAATAATTTAGACAATATTAATTAAGGCAATATTGAGGCATTATGTACAGTATGTACATATACCAATATGAGACTGATCAATTGTGGTCCTAAATATTAATGGGATGGTAAAATGTTTTTTTTTTAAATATTTTACACTGCTACTTTATTAGTTACATTTAAAAATCTTTAGAAAACTGTCTTGTAAAGTTTATGAGAGGAGAGAAATTCTTAAATATCTTTGACTTACAGTTGATGCTGGTTGTCAGAAAAATAAGTAAATAAATTAGAAAACTAGAATTATTTTTTCAAAA